TGTGAAGTTAATATGACTGGACTTCTGACTATGTTTATATTTGAATCTTTGTTTTCTTTTCCTTTCTCGATGTGATTAGCTTGACTATTATTCATAGATCAATTAGTAGATTATTAGTCATTGGTGGATTGTTAGATGGTTGACAGGGCATCAACTATTGGAGTTTGTGCACCTGTAACTTGGCAATCATTGAACCAGCAATCACTTGCCGTTGGTAGATTGTGAACCAGTAAATAACAGTGTGTTAACGTTGATCATTAGAAGTTTTTGGTTGACTACAGATTGCAAATCTATTATTAGCAATATTCAGTAATGAAGCTCAAAAGGATCATGGATCTATAGACCTCAAGATCGATGACTGATTGCTAGTCGTTAGGTGATCATTGGTAGTTCATTGTCCATTTAAAAGTTCTTACCCAAGCAATTGCTTGAGTACTCGAGGCCTGGACAGCCACCTAGGCCCACAAGCTCACCGTTAAGAATCATTTGTTACAAAATTACAAATAATTATCAGTTAAGGTATTGGAATTTGGCTGAGGGGCGGCTCTTGGTGCTCCAATAAGGTTGCTTTATTGTGACTTGGATGACATAGTTTCAAACCATAGAAATAAAACTCTTCACATAAGGTTAAGGCCACACATATTAACTTCCCCCAATCCCCACATTATCGAGAGACTTGTGCATTGGACTATCCTCTGGCTCAAAGAACATGAAAGTGATGAAACTATGAAAGGCATGAGAATATCTGTAGTTTTGAGAATGCTTCATTTTCACAGTCTTCTGTGACAAGTAAAAACAGTTTTACTATATCTCAGTGAACAGATAAACAATATCTGGGCTTGTCAGATCTTGTTGTCATGCATGTCTTTTAGTAACGATGAATGACATCCATCTTGATTGTATAATATGCTTTTATTGTTCTTCCTTTCTAGTTACGTTTGTATCTTATTTTTTGTATATTCCAACAAGAAAAGCCAATATGCAACAATGAATAAGAACTCCGTCTTGTATAACCTTAATGGAAAAAGTTATTGCAAGAGTAGTACATATGATATATCATGTGTCTATTGGGAACTTATGGATTACTAATCTGCACATGAATTTTTTATACATATGTATAAATGTATATTATGTTTAGGCTTTTTTCTTGATGTTTTAGAAAACCATCCCAATGTGTGGGTGGTGGCACCACATAACATGTGTGTGGTATATGAAAGCATATGAAACACTGGGTGCAGTTCAACTAAAATATTTAAATAATATCACGAGTATAAATATAAGTATATGATCAAGCATATTAATAGGTAAATATATGCTAAGACCAAAATAATAATGTATATGATGTCATTATGCTCTTTAGGAACTTGTTGAATTGCTAAGTTATAAGAAGTGATCAAATGTCTACGTGATAATGTCATATTATCATGGATCATATATAATATTTGAAACAATATCAACAAAAAGAAAATGTGAACGACATATGTGATTACAATTTCATACTTACGTAATTCACCTATACATGATAGACTTCGCATATAAAATAACATTGCTCGTTATGGCCACACAGCCTGATGCAGGTAGGTCATATGATCACATATGCATACATGACTCTATGTATAGCCACATAGACCTCATTTAGAACAAAACTTTGTCCTAGATGTTTGCCTACATGCTTATACCTTTTGCCTACACCTTTTACGAGATTGCTGTCTCTAATTGCCAATGCATTTTAGCAACCTTGCTTAGGGTCTTTTAAAATTATTTTGTAAATGCAACTGATGCCAAACCTTGTTCTTTTGTGTATATGTTGTGTCTACTTGATACCAACATTTGTTGACTCTTGTACCATCAGTACATAGTTTACGCTAATGTATTATATAGGTGTAGTATGTAATGATCTTCATAAGTCTTCTAGTGCTTTTGAGTATGAATTGTCTTCTTAAGCTTCACGAAAATGGCCTAAGTATGTCTAGCGATAAGGCTATGTACATTGAGCCTCCATAAATCTCACATAAGCTGGAGCTCCATGCAATAAGCTGTCCATTCCATATAGATTGTGTTTGAAATGGTCAGTCTGCTTTTTGTAAGCTCGTATATCATGATCATAAGTTGCCTATGTTATATAACATAGATAATTACAATAACATATGAAGATAAATATACTTGATGGCCTTGCCCATATCATGTGCTATTCTACTTGTTAAGATTTACTCCAGGTATGATCATACAACCTCTGATCTAAGCCTTTGGAGTCCTAATCAGATAAGAAAATGTTGTTTGTTGATTGCCTGGACTTATTTATGCCTCTAGCACTAAGCCACACCTACTTTTAGGATATCTTATTCTCTGAGCTGACTACCTCCTGATGTTATTAGGGGTTAGTCTGCTCCATGAGTGCACAAAGGATAGTTTGGAATACCACGTTTGTGCATATTGTCAATTTCTAAGACGTCCTGAAGCCTTAAATGGATGTTATAAACATCCTGCATGTGTGCAATACACTTATAATGTGTCAATGGCATAAGAATCCTATTATGTTTTGAAGCAAACATATGCAAGGAAGTATCCAAGTGTGGTGTGCATGGACATTTCAAGCATTTTCAAGGGCCGGACCACTGGCCTACTTATCCAAGTGTGGTAGCCAAATGGGAATTATTTGCAATTGCTGTTGAAGTTCCTATCCAGATTGTGTTGCAAGCTTGCAGCGACTGAGAAATATGAGCCTTTCTGCATTCTTACATACACATCATTTTCTGCTTTCTTATGGTACATATATCATGCATATGATTTTTGGCTTGTCCATGCATATTTTGGTCCACGTGGATTACTTCAAGCTTATATGATCGGAACCTTAAGATTTCTTATTCTCATGCATTCTCTTTTGTAGTTGGATGTATCTATACCTGATGAAACTCAGTTTTCATGCTTATATATGCTTGGAACCTTAAGATTTCTAATTATCATGCATTCTTTTTTGTAGTTGATGTACCCATACCAGATGAAACTCAGTTCTGGTTTCTTTTTCTCTCAATTGGAAAATTAAGCATCATTAAACTAAATGTTAAGTTTTATCCAAACAGATCACCTGCCAACAACTATCTTATCCCCGTATTTATAATCACAATTTACCTTTTTGTCTTAATGATCTTGTGGTTCACTCAGGCTGCAAATTATCTAAACATAAAGGGCCTGCTGGATTTGACTTGCCAGACTGTGGCCGACATGATCAAGGGCAAGACCCCAGAGGAGATCCGCAAAACCTTCAACATCAAGAACGACTTCACGCCTGAGGAAGAGGAAGAGGTTCGGAGGGAGAATCAATGGGCTTTCGAGTGATGGCCTATTGCAGTCCTTCAGACATCTTAATCTTCTTTTATTCCCATGTGGTGGTGGATCTATTAGGGTTAGTTTTGGACTTGGCTAATAACCTTGTGGTTGATGTCCGACTTTTATGTGTTGTATGTAAGATTGGAAACCGAATGATCACCCAAAGACACTGGCTTTTCACTCTCGGCAACCTTGTGTTTCTCTAGAAAATTGGTTATTTCGTTGCTTGTGGCGAGCGTGAGACGTGCTAAAAGACCTCAGTTATATATATGAGGCTTCTCCTTTGCGTCTGCTATTAGAAACAAGCGATTGAATTGCGGCAGCAGCTGTGGCAGATGTACTAGCGATTGATTTGGAAGGGTCTGTCAATTTCTGTTCGAGTTGTGTAGTATCCATTCCTCTTGTCAATTTCTGTTCGAGTTGTGTAGTATCCATTCATGATTCCTCTTATCGGTCTATATCGGTGTATCACGATTAATTATTAATAATATATATATATTAAATAATATAATTTATGATATATATCAATATTATCCATTTATGATTTTTCTTATTGGACTGTATCGATTAACTATTAGTATGATATATATCGAATAATATAATTTATGATATATATCGAATAATACTGAATTGACAATACTATGGTGTATCAATGTAACGCTCATATCAATATATATCGACAAGTTGCTGAACCTAACTTGGGGACTGGATTCCTTTACATTCTGGTGGACTTGTCTGCCATTTTATACGAGGATTGCCGCGTGGTACACTGGAGGTTTCCCAGATTCGGAGCTACAACGCGGTGGATCAGCTGAGAGAGTGTCTGTGTAGCGTATGCATTTGCATGTGTGGGGCGCACGTGTGTTCATGCGTGTACGTGTGGGTGTGCATGCACGTTCGTGTGCACGTGCGGGCGCCTGTGCGTATCGACGTGTGGATGTATTAGTGTACGAGTGTTTACGTCGGTGCACGTGCATGCATGCACGGGTGCGTGTGAACACGTGCGTAAGTATATGCAAGCGTGTGGGGATTGAAGTCGTACAACCCATATTAATCAAACACGAACGCGCACTTGTCTCATGGTTTTACTTTTGATATTTTTTGTATTTAGTTTCTATATCTAAGAAAAATAATTGATAGATCGGAAAAAGTTAGAAACTATGAATCTACTTATTAAATATAAGTCTCATGTTGTATCTAAAAATGTAATCCACTACATAAAATATAAAAATATATTTTATATATAAGATTGTAAGTAGGATAGGATTTTACTTACCAAAATTGGATTAAAGACGATGTCTTGCAGATCAAACAGAAATCTCTGAACAGATAACATCAAAAGGTACACATCGTTAAACTAGATCTAAGTATTTAATTTCAATCCTGACATAAAGATTATTTTCGTATTTTAATATAACATATTACAGATTTTTATGCTTTCAGAGCTAACCACCATATTAATGAAAGCAAAGAATCAGATAGCATCGATACCCAAAAAAAAAATGAAACTATAATGATAAATAAATGCCATCGGATCATTTTCATGAGACTCTGTAAATAATATTTAGCTAAACAATATTGATATGCGAATGATGCGTGTGAACATCATGTACATCATTTAATGTAGTAATTTTTTCATCTTAAAAAAAAAGATTTAACTGAACAATCAATTGTAGAAAGCAAAGCTTAAGCTTAGATTACTATTCTTGTGTAAGGAAAACTGATTCGAGCAAGATTTTCTCCACAACATGACAATAGATCATCCGAAGATACATGCACTAAAACTACAAACCACAAGAAAAGGAAGAAAGGAAAAAGGATCATTTTTCAGATATGCTTCCATGTGTTGCAACTGCTCTTGATATACACCAAACAGTAAAACCTTAAAACAATTTGAGAACTCATCTGATCACAAGATGAAGCATCCCTTCTGTGCTTTCTTCTTCTTTTTCTTTCGATTCGACGGCTGAAGTGCCACCTTAATAGCTGCGTCGAACACTGGCTTAATGTTCTGCACATCACAAATTTATATGAAAACTGAAATATATCCATCGGCAACACTATAAAGACTATAAAGAATAACAGCAGGGGAAATTATATACTTCTTGGGTCTTTGAACTGCACTCGATGTAGCAAGGAGCACCGATTTGCTTCCTCAGCTCCTCGCCCTTGATTAATAAGAGAATCATCATAAGCAGAACACAGTCCAAATGAGATTCTAATTAAAAGCCAAGATATTCACTCTTACTTGAGCGTTAGTAATGGAAGTCGAACCAGGGTGATCTATGAAAAACTGCTCATCATCCCGTAGATCTGTGAACAAAGCCACAACATATATTTCGTTGAAATAAGTAAATTATATAAAACTTTCACAAATTTAATTTAGGAATTAAACAAAGACCACTCATTAATGTGTATGGATAGGTCAGAGAGATCCTAAGCTAATCATTTTGTACCAAATCTATGGTCTAGCCTACATATAAGGAAATTTGCCGAATTGGCTGTCCAGGTAAAAAATGAGAAACTAAGTGAACCTGGTCTGCATATCCCGAGCTGCAATGAGCCGATCCTCATCCCATCATCTCAGGGAAACCAAGAAAAGAACAAATCATTATCCCATTATATTAAGTATGCTACAGGAATCAAGAACAAAAGAAAACCTCAATCCTTTTGAAAGAAAATCTTGTCTCCATACCAACATATCATTTGTAATATAGCCAAAATTTCATTGCAATCATCATTCGTCCGCAAAAGAAAGCCTTGCTTTAACATCTAATAACCCAAACCAGTCTAAGATGCAACACCAGTACTGTTATTTGTACTCTTTCAACTCAACTTCCTGATCATATTTTGTAACAGTAACACCAGTGGTCCATCAAATGCTTCTTCGAGATTCATGAAGCCATCATATATAACTCATTCAACTGCTCAATTTGTTTCCTATAACAATTTTTTCTGCAACTCATCATCCATTTCTTATTTCTGTATCTTTTGAGGAGCCTATCGCATCTTCAGATGCAATTAGATTACAACAGTTGTGTGCAGCAATGAAGGCTGAAATTGGAGCCTTAGAAAGTAATAATACTCACTCTCTACCATCTTTACCACAAGAAAATAAATCATTGAATGCAAATGGTTTCTTAACTAAAGCATCAGCATGATGGAAACATTAAACTTTACAAGGGTCATCTTGTAGTTAAAGGCAACACACTGGAAAGTCGTATCAAGTTCTTCACACCGGTTGCTAAATTAGTAATCGTTCGGTGTCTTTTGGCAGTTGCTTCAGTTTGAGGATTACCTTTATATCAACTTGATATCATTAATGCTTTCTTGCATGGTCCAGCTCATGAATAAGTTTACATATACGTTCCTTCAGGTTTTAGTTGAAAGGCAAACAAATAGTTTGCCATCTACATGGATTTGGTTTGCCACTTTCACCTTTGCTCTTAAGCGTGTTGATTCTGTCAACTCAAAAGCTGACTGCTTTCTATTTACAGGAGTCCATAATTTTAGCTATAATGTTAGTCATTTATGTAGTTATGACAAGAACTAATTCAGACTCTTTCCGGTGCCTTGGTATGTCAATTTCACCTTTGCCATTTAGTGTAATGACTGTCCAATCAGATGCACAAGAAATGAGAGTTAAACAGTATGGCTCTTTAAACAGAGAAATGTAGTTGACCAAAGGCACGTGTATGAGAAAGTATAAATACATATGCAATTTAGAAAATCAAAACAAGTTATGTTCAGTTAAGATTATTACCAAGCTTTGTTCCAACAAGAATTATAGGCACACCAGGTGCATAATGTCTTAATTCAGGAATCCACTGCAGAGTGATAAAGAAAAAACCGATTAAGATAAAATAGAGCAAACAATAAAGTGATGAAATAACAATAAGCATATATTCAAACAAGATAAAAAGGTAAACAATCACTTTCTTACCTTCTTAGATACATTCTCATAGCTTCCTTTACTTATAAGAGAGAATGCCAGAAGAAAAACATCTGCACCTCGGTAGCTCAAAGGTCTTAATCTATTGTAATCCTCCTGGCCTGTTCCACTAAAGTATGGTATTAGATTGGGGCTGCTAATAATTTAGACCAGAGCAAAGGCCAATGGAACACGAGAAAAGCAAAGAATGAAGAAAGAGGGTGCAACAAAGAAAAAGGTTAGAATTACCTGCAGTATCCCACAAGCCCAAGTTAACTGTGTTACCATCAACCACAACATTTGCACTGAAATTGTCAAAGACAGTTGGAATATAATCCTGTACCAGAAAAATAAAACAAATATAAGTAAAACAAGTTCCTTGTCACCCAAGATCGTATTACAATCACCGAAGGACCAGCTTGAATGAATTGTTGTACAAAGATACAATGAACATCACCACGGACCAGATTCATTGAAATATCAGCCTATTTTCATAAAATCTGAAATGCTAGATGAGGCTAAAAGTTTAACTTCTGGAGACTTGGAAGAAGGACCAAGTTTACTGGCTAAAAATTGGAATAAAGCCATCATTTTCTGCACATCACATACTATATCTTCGATAGACAGTGCACTGGTTTTTGAACTTAGGTAGCCTGAAGCGAGAAGCACTACGGATTTGGGCACAAGGTTGGATTTGAGAAAGCAGAAAGATTTGAAAACATATAAATAGGAGGTTTGTTTATACAGATGTGTGCTTGTGCATGTGCATACGTATATGTATGTGCATGTTTTTATGTATATACATTCCTTGTTTATGTATCTTCATCAAACACAAAAACCATAAATTACCATAGAGGAGAAGATACAAAAAGCACAAGCAATATTTTCAGGTTTTAAACATATCTGCCACTAAGAAAATACAGAACATGACACTTAAACAATAACATTTTAAAGTACATATGTTCTTATAAAATCAATATCAGCTAACATATAACACCAAGTTAAATTTCCAAGTTAGGTACTTAAATGGATGTTAACGTTGAATAATAATTTAAATAAGGTAAGGTTGGAAATAATAATATATTTTGACCGATATTTCATAAAACTAAAACTAATTTTCTAACTTTTTCACACCGCAACGAAAAATGTGATGTTAAAAAGACATGAAAGAAAGTTCAAAAATGTTTTAACTAATCAAATTATCTAACCATGGTTAAGTTGATAATATAGAGAAAATCTAAAAGAACAGGATATATGACCAAATAATTTTTTAATGGCGGCATGTATGTATTTTTAAAAGAATGTGACAAAAAAATTAGTCTTTAGAGGTTCTTAGTAGCAAATATGCAAAACTTCAAATCGTACATTGTATATATTCTCTCATTTTATTTGCATTCAACAACTTACACACAAAGTAGAAAGGTTTTGAACTATTGCTTTACGAATGACGCAAGATTTTTACATAAAGTTAAATTACTTCCCCAATAAGCCCTTCCTAAGTTCTAAAACGAAGAATTCCATAGATATATTGAAACTAATTAGGTGTGATAAAAAAGAGTTCCCCCCCTCCTAAACAAGCCTTTCTTGTAGTTAACGAACCAATTACAGTACAAGTCCAACGCTTTCTCAGATCAGCCAACCAAAACCACATAACCCAACATTGTAGATACAATTCAACTTACAGAATGAGCAGGAAAACAGAAAAAGGAAGCATCTTTCCATCTATATTCCCTTGAACATTCTGAAAAAGGTATCAATTCCTAACTGCGCTCTTCTCCATGGAAATAAAATAAGAAAGAATCCACAAATTTCATATGATTTTTATCTGTTTATCGCGCTTAGCACTTACCGTGGGGAAAGTATTGCTGGTGTACGAAATAAGCATGCAGGTCTTGCCGACGGCCCCGTCGCCCACCGTGACGCACTTTACAAAGCTCGACGCGCTCATCTCCCCCCACCTACCTGCTCACGCTTCGTTCCCTCGACCTCCTCCGCCGCCGCGGCCGCAGCTATTACAAGTCTGAAAAACCAAAACCAGAGAGGGAAGGCGGAACCCGCAAACCTCTCAGGGTCTCCATCATGAAGACAAGAGCAGGTAAGAGGAAAGAGATCTTTTTTTTTTCTGATCTTTGGCTTCTCGTTTCCTCTTATCAGAGGGATGAAAGAAGTGCACGTTTGGGTTTGAACTGAGCGGGAAGGGCGGAAAAAGGAGGAAGATACGGCCGGTAGATGATGCGTTTGACGCGGTCGCGGAGAGAAGCAACCTCCCGATGACAGATACATCGACAGAGAGATGAAATGTCATTTCGTGTGAGAGAGAGAGAGAGGGTGAGAAGAGCAGAAATATCTCCGACAGCTAAGGTGATCAAGTGCAATTTCTACCCCTGTCACGTAACCCGACTTCCTACTCTCCATGTCATTGGTTCGGTTGTGGGCCCATATCTCTGAAGCGGAGGCCCATTGGAGAGGTTATTAGCTAAGATGAAACGCCTGCAATTTATTGTAATACGATGCATGCCAGAATTAGATTGACCTAACATAATCCAAATCACACCTCTCTGGCTTCCGAATTCAGATTTAAATCCAAAAGCTTACATCTAATTCAATTTTACATAGTTATAAGATTATTTTTTTTACAAGATAAATGATAAAGAGGGAATTAGAATTCAAGTACGAGGCAGAAATATTCTTGCTTTCATGCGGTGAGTGCAGACCTAAAACCACGCCCTCACCTAAACGTGTTTGAAATGGCACAAGCACCACCATTCCCAAGTGCTGTGACCCAAACCTTGTGCATGGCAATTAAGGTTCAACTCGGCCTCCTTCCATGTGCTGTCAATGTTCATCATCTGAACTAACAATGTCGAGTTCAATCATGTTTTGTGATGCGTGATCAACTTTCCTCCTTTTGGTTTGTAGCTCATGTTGTATGGGTGCCTTGGACACCTTTTCCTTCGGTAAAGATGACCTAAAATAAAACTTGGCTCAGCGGGATGAAATGAATACATAAAAGGCGAGCAAGTTTATGATTCGAAAAGTATATTAGTTACCTCTTCTCCGGCCTACGCTCAGATTGATGATTGCGTACGGATGCTTTATTTGAATCTTTTGTCTCCTGAGCTACTAAATGCAAACAGATAGATTCAATAAATTAGCTTAAGGAGACATAAATGGAAGGACGATAATCTCGTACCTGTGACGTGTGTAAGAAACCTGATTCCCTGTGAGTGGCTAATGGTGGTCACCTTATCAGCTTTACTGGTCAGTAATAAAGAGAGGAACATATCAATGCACAAGTACATGCATAATTGCAAGAGTAATTTGGTTCAGATATGAGCATCTACAGATTTAATCTGGTTCCTGAGCTAAAAGAAGGTTCAACTTGAATCTCATCCATCAAACATACCAGGCTTGATCTCGAAATAATTGAAGAAACATGTTAAGGACCAAAAGAAACCAGAAGCAAAAGGTTAAATGCCAGCAAGTCCATCTTAACTCAAGTTAAGTTGGTGAGATAGAAAAGAAAAAAAAAGGAAGAAAGAAAAGGATTAGAAAGAAGAGGAACTTTAGAGATTATATTATTATTGTAACAAACTTCACCTTGAACTCATAATTGTAATGATTCAAAAAATATCATCAATGAGACCTTAAAAATTGATGCATTAGTCAATCTAAAGGAAATCACCTTGAACTCATAATATTGGTCATCTGTTCTGAAGACAATCTTCACAAATTTTTACAGTGCAACTTAATTATATATTATCCCATCTAAAATAAAACTTTTCTTGATTAGATGACTAATACTGAGTGCATCGTGAAGTAAAAGATTTTCTTACATATAAAACAAACTCTACAGTGAAAATTGTATTCTAGGACCGAAAACTTCCACCTACATGACCATTACCCTTTCTCTTAAGTTACACTAAAAAATTTAGAGGAAAAACAGCGGCTTGGATTCACAATTAGTTCAAAATTTATTCACTGAGGTGACTGCATTATTTAGTAGGAAAATAAATCATGAAGAACGGATGACATGATCATACAATCATTTGTACAAGACCATTACACATATTTCTTTTGTACCATAAGAGTTAACTTGAGAAAACTCCGGCAGCTGTAATTCAGATTTAGTTACAAATGTATTCTTCAATGAAAGGTGCAAATTTAGTAGGAAGAGAACTTGTGTGGTTATTACATGTTACATAGTCATACCAATTTTACAGAGTTGATAGTCTGAGGATCTATCAACAAATATTTTGTTTCAGATTTCAGCAAGAATATATTTTTATATAAACAAAACATCACATGCTTCTATGAGGAAGATAACCAAAGCAAAATACCAAATACCTCAAAGCTTTTCTGAGTCCATCAATAGACATCACTTTCACTGGCTGGAGTGGCTTTCTCGAGTTTGATCTCTCAGCTAAAGGATCAACCATATAAATTCCTTCTGCTTCACGCTTGAATGCAGTTTGTAAGTTCCTGTTTCCCGAAGATAAATGGAACATACAAACAGTTGACCAGTCAATAAGAATGTTGTAGAAAGTCAATGAACTGTAGAAAAAAGAACCTCAACTGACTGGCTTTAAGTATAAGATAGATGAGTCAGAAACATATTTAAAACAGTATAACAAAAAAAATATTACTTACCCACCCCTGAGCTCAGATCGCTTGGAAGTATACATCTGGGAAGCTTTCTGATAAAAAGAAAAATGAGGAAATAATAGCTTATTCAATTGTGTAATGAGTGAATTACATGAAATGAACTTGGTTGATCATTCTTACTGATGAGTGGAATTTACAGTATATTCCTTGACATCTGAAAAATAATAAAGCAAAAAAAAAGATGCAAAATCAAATGTGTATGGTTTGCCAATAATGTAAATAAGCAATTTATAGGAAATTAGCCAGGAAAGAAAATTTTACATTTCAGTGGTGAAAGAAAAGCAAAGACAGCAAAAAATATTTGGAAAACAAAATGATGACTCTTGCTAAAATAAGATTAGGCATGATACTAGCGATAGTGTTTAGTCCAGTTGCTATGCAGTACCTAGAATGTTACAGATGAGATAGAAGTGCTTAAAACAACCAAATTTTTTCCTTTGCCAAATTCAAAGGGATATAAGAACAAAGAAAAAACTGAAAAAGGAAAGAAGGATGAATGAGAAAGAAATCACAAGTGTTCATTTAACCTTTTAGAATATTCTCACCAAGAACTCTCTTACTTCTCTTTATGCCTCCATCTTCCTCAGAAATGTTCCAAAATTTAGATTAGTTTCTACAGACTGTTCTAGAAAGAAATTCAAAAGAATACTAAGAGATGCTGGAATTTACTTGCAGGTGCAGCTTAATGGACAACTTGATAGGAGAGGAATCTGTCCTTTTCACTGCTACAGCATGCAACATTTTTAAAATTTGACTATCTTTGCAGTGCTTGTCTTATTTGAATTAATTGGACCAGTATGTGGAAGAATTTAAATGCCGTAGAAGTTAATTTAGTATGCAGAATAGCTAATGTAAACAGTAAACCTAAGAGTCACTGGTAAAGTATTGGAATGTGTATGGTCTATGTTAAACATGTGTGTGTTTAATGGCAGGGGATATGTTTATTTTTTTTAGCTCTATAGTATGTAGCAGAATTTGAATGTTATTACCTAAATGATTATATGCTTTAAATATTTTAATTATAGTATGATACTATAGGATATTATAACCCCCTAGTTCCTCCTGAAAGAATTTAGAATCGTTTTAAGCTCAATTTAGAATAGTTTTAACCCCAAGCAACTTCCAAATGATACCTTGCACCTAGAAGACTCCAACTTGATCAGATACGAAAGAAAATCTTAAAGGGAAAAATATTAGACTTAGAGGTCACATGTAAAGAGGTTTATGGCTAGAAGTCTAGAAGTGTTTCGAGTATCAAAAATGACCAAACTTTTCCTTCAAGATTGCTTTTTATGACAATGATTAGTTTCACATATGAATAAGAAGAAACCTATGGATTTCTTGGTAATGGATTTCCAGAGTAAATCAAAATGTAGGAAAACAAAAAATAAAAGTTTTCCAAATGACTAAATTTTCAATCAAAATTGCTAACAAGAATGCTTGTGTTTCAACATTGAAATGTTTTCAACAATTTGATCCACGATATTATAGAAAAGCCTCTCTTTTTTCCTAAATGTTTGTGTAGAGTAAAGACTTTCTGGTTAATAATGTTGACACTAGTATCATGCAAGTGGAAGTTTCTTGCTACCGAAGTGAGAAGCTTCATAGATGAGGTCATTTCATCTTAGTGGGCCAGGGGATACTAATGTAAACAAAGCTCAAGTTTCAATAATCAAGCTATAAAAATAACCAGAATGTCCTTGACCAAAAAATCCATGCACAATTGAACACATTTGATATCAACTCAACCTACTGGTAATCACATAAGAAGTGCATCCACAAATTTTCTCAGTATCATTTATCATGAACCCAGTGGCCTACCCTCTTAAAGATGTGTGCTAAAAGAATAGACAGGATACCATAGACCTAGTAATTAAAAGCAAGCAGCCTAAGATTTTTGTAAGTTAGGAATTTGAAAATTAAGTCTCTACTTGGTTTGGTGCAGAAATCTAAAATTAGTTTGTGATTGAATCTTCTCATAATATGGAACATGGAATCTCAAAATATTTTGTTATCGAGTCCTTGTGCTCAACCAAGCATCTCATGATCTTGTCTATTCTTTGTTTCCTATCATTCCAAATGTAATCCTCCAAACTGACAGTTCCTATGATTGAGCATAGGGTGTTTATAGTTACTTAGCAGGCATAGGTCCATAATCCATTATCACCTGAATATTGCTTGTCTTTACTATGATTATTTAGGTAGAAACTACTCATGCATGTCGCTCTTTGGAGAACAGCCATGACCATGACCCTATGGGTTAAGAAAATAATCATATTAACATTTTAGTGAGTTCAGCTAGTTTGTTAGTCAGTGGCCATGGGATGTTTGTATATATCTTAGGTTAAGTGATTATAATTTTTTACGACATTACAGTTGGATCTATAGTCGATTATGAACAAAATGGAGAAAAAAAACTATCAACCATTCATATTAAAATCTATAGTGTATCATGTTATAACAGACCAATTCAAGCAAAGTTGGTCAGCTTAGTGAAAGGATCGTCTCATGAAAAGGTGCAATTCGATTTCCCTCAGTGTTATCATGCCTCAAACAATTCAAAAGTAGTATTTAGCAGTGAAATCTGATCAGCATTGTGCTGGTTTCAACATTAAATAAATAA